TTTATCACAGAAACAGTTTGCCCCATTTATCCATTTCTCTCTAAAACATTTTGAAGAGCTTGTAAAAAGATTATATAATGAATGTGTTTCTGTAGGCCTACGGTTATTGGCTATTCTAAAAATTTTAAATTTAAAATTCCCATGATATTCTTATGGAGAATAAGGAAATTGTTGTTGTTTGATTGTTTATGGATATATTATATGGAAACATTATTTATTTTATACTACGCTATTGATGTTTTACTAAAAAACACATTTTACTACACTTTACTCCCTGTAGAAGCAGCATACCTAGGTACTCATTGAACCTAGTGTTATTTAAATAAATTAAGGCTTGCACATACCGGAGCGGTGGCGGTATAGGCACAATTTTTCATCCCCCCCATCCACTATCATCACCGCGGCGGTATAGCTGGGGCGTTCACACCGGAGAGATTCCGCACCGCAGCGATGACAGCTGAGTACAGTAATTTTCTGTCCTCATTTATGAGTGTGCAGTCAACATGTTCAGTGTGTTGTTAGATAGAAATATGTGTACATCAGACGACAAGGAAGACATTTTGCTATTGTTTGCTGTAACTGAAGACAACGATCGCGGAAATAGGGAGTTGGTATATGACATGAACAAAAGGCAATTTGAGCATGGCGAAGACCATACATTGATGCTTAAACTTATAAAAGACAAGAAACACAAATGCTAGGCTCGTTGCACTGGCAACGCTGGGCAGAGAAATGGAACATGCTGCATCTCAGTGGAGCGGTGGTACAGACGGTATACCGCTACCGCTCCATTGTGGCGGCTTGCATTTACTTCCATTTGACTAAATCACTGTGCGAATATCGCACCGCTAATGCTCCACCGTACCGCTCCGGTGTGTGTACACCTTAAAAGTGAAAATTAATCTGGCTTCAAATGGAAATTCGCTTGGTCTGCAGATTTGCTGCGTGGGGTTATTTTATTTTTAAAATGTCCAAATTCATTTATATTTATCAACACTTTTTGAAAGAGCGCAAAAAACAATCAAAAAATGTACGATGTAAAGTAAATAAATTCAACTATATTACCAACAATTTATTATCTTGCTAGGAAACTATTTTATGAATCAGACTTATTTAACAGATGTTTAAATAAAAATATAAATTCCGGCTTTGCTCTGGAAGTAATAAGTCCTGCAGTCTGTGGTTAACTTTAAAAACTATTTCAAACTACGTCCATATGTTTAGTTGTAAACAAAGGAAATTGAGTTTGATCTAATGTCAACAGATAGCGGCGCTGTCCCCATACTTAAGCCCTTAACTGTACTTAAGTGCCCTTTCTTAATATTCTGAGACGTATTTGCACATCTACGTGAAAATACCTTTAATTTGACACCTCAAACGTTAAAACACGTCAAGCTGTTATCCAGTTATGGCTGTGAAAAAAAAAACTGCTTGAGTATTAATATATGGATTGATCTTTTAAGTAAAAAAGCGAACAGGATAGGGCTGCAAAAACCTGCTTGGCCCAAAATGACGACGACAGTTGGCATTTCGGCCCTGGACAGCAATACATAGCTTTTAGCCTCCAATTAATGTTTGTAAAAAGGCCAAAAACGTCGTAATATGGTGGAAAAAAATTTATTTTTGATGATGTGAAGTATTGAAAGTGTTTTAAAAACCACCAAACATGTACTTATTCTTGGTTTCTTCATTTAATTTTTTGCGCCAACATTATGTTAGACCAATATGATGTACTTGAACTAGTAAAAATTGTTTAATCATTTTTTGACCTATATAAATGTGTTAATAAAGTGTGATATTTTTCAGATGTGTTGCTAGATAAGCCCAGTATTCGTGCAACTGCATCATTTAACAAGTCCTACAAAAAAGATTAATAGATAAAGGTACGAGGGTTATTGATTAGTCAACCCTTCTGATTATTATGGTATTATAAGCTTATCTAATAAGTTTCACAAAGACAGAAATTAGAAACTTACCGATGTTAAAACACACTAAAAAGCCTCTGCTTAAGTGTCCAATATGTGGGAAATATTTTTTAACTCAGTTAGGAATGAAGCGTCATATATTGTATCACACGGGCGAGCGCCCCTTTAAATGTTTGATGTGTGACAAAACCTTTACCCAGAAATCTAAGGTAATGAGTCATGTGTTGACACACACAGGGAGGGACCCTTATAAGTGTACAACATGTGGAAAATCCTTTAACTGCAAAAACATTTTAAAATCACATACATTGTCCGTTCATACAGAAGAGAGATCTTATAAGTGCACTACATGTGGAAAATACTTTGCACACAAATGCAGTTTGAAGAAACATACATTGTCAATTCATACAAGAGAGAGACCTTATAAGTGCACTACATGTGGAAAATCCTTTGCATCAACATTCCTTTATAACAGACATGTATTAATACATAGCAATGAGCGTCCTCACAAGTGTGCTACATGTGGAAAATCATTTTTATGCAAATACAAATTGAAGTCGCATACATTGTCCGTTCATACAGAAGAGAGACATTATAAGTGCACAACATGTGGTAAATCCTTTAAATGCAAAAAAGGTTTGAATTTACATAAATTGACAATTCATACAGAAGAGAAACCTTTTCAGTGCACAACATGTGGCAAATCCTTTAAACGCAAATACGGTTTGAAGGTACATATATTGTCAATTCATACAGAAGAGAAACCTTTTAAGTGCCCAACATGTGGAAAATCCTTTAAACGCAAAAACCATTTGAAGGTACATATATTGTCAATTCATACAGAAGAGAGACCTTATAAGTGCACAACATGTGGAAAATCCTATGCACACAAATGCCATTTGAAGGCGCATGTATTGTCGGTTCATACAGAAGAGAGTCTTCATTAATGCACCACATATGCGGAAAGTCTTTTACATATATAAGCAATTTGATAGAACATACATTGGTTCATACAGAAGAGAGGTACTGTTGGAATCAGTACAGGTACAAGTGCTCTAAATGTGAAAAATCCTTTAAACTGCAAAAACAGTTAGAAGATACATATATTGTCAATTCATACAGAAGAGAAACCTTATAAGTGCACAACATGTGGAAAATCCTTTAAAAGCAAAAACAATTTGAAGTCACGTACATTGTCAATTCAATTCATACAGAAGAGAAACCTTGAGTGCATTTCATGTGGAAAATCCTTTGTATCAACATTCCTTTATAACAGACATATATTCATACATAGCAATGAGCCTCCTCATAATTGATCTGCACGTTGGAAATCCTTACACAAATGTCCTTTTTTTACAAATATATATGTATTCATTCTTGACAATCTAATTTTGGTCTTATTCATTTCCACAACTGATGAGTCGTCATAAGTAGGAATTTAAAAGCAATTATAACAGACATGTTTTCATTTATATCAATGAACATCATAAAAAGCCAAATGACATGAAATGACTCACAAAACTTTGTTTATAAATAATAGTCAATTGTAAGACCAATGCTAAATCCTATATGTTATCATATTTAATATAATAAAATGTAAATTAACTAAATTTTATTCACCAATATCATGTATTATACAGGTTAGATCAAAAGTCCCGGGTCAGTTAAATATTTCCAAAAGTAATAAAGGTGGAGCTTCAAAACTTGGTACTCAGTTACTGGGCATTAAAGTAAAAAAAACCCCCGCCACAGCAAACCTGACGACTAACCAAATTTCTAGTTGTCTTGAATTGATTTCAATTAAATCTATTTTCATGTTTTTTAATAAAGCTATAAATAAATAAAATGTTTATAAATATAATACAAAATACAACTATTTCATAAATTTAACTTATCAGTTTAGTTTCGCTTAGAACTATAAACATCTATAACAAGTTTCATTAGTAAAGATGTCACACCAGAAGTCAGTTTTTCACAGGCTGTAACTCCTATACGAGTGGGTTTATCAAAAAAATTTCAAGAATAAAAAAAATTTTAAACTGCATGTTCCATCCCAAAACTTAATAATAATTGTAGCTGTTATCCAGTTATGGCTGTGAAAAGAAAACTGCTTGCGTATTAATATATGGATTAATCTTTTAAGTAAAAAAGGGAACAGCTGATTTTCAGGCCTGCAAAGACCTGCTTTGTATTGCCCAAAATGACGAAGACAGGTGGCATTTCGGCGTTGGACAGCAATACATTAGCTTTTAGCCTCCAATTAATGTTTGTAAAACGGCCAAAAACGTCGTAATATAGTGAAAAAATTTGATTTTTGATGATGTGAAGTATTGAAAGTGTTTTTAAAACCACCAAAAATGTACTTATTCTTGGTTTCTTCATTTCATTTTTTGCACCAACATATGTTAGACCAATATGATGTACTTTAACTAGTAAAATTTTTTTTTTATTGTTTAATCATAATTAGACCTAAATAAATGTGTTAATAAAGTGTGATATTTTTCAGATGTGTTGCTAGATAAACCCAGTATTCGTTCAACTCCATCATTTAACAAGTCCTACAAAAAAGATTAATAGATAAGGGTACAAGGCTTATTGATTCGTCGACCCTTCTGATTATTATGGTATTAAGATTATCTAATAAGTTTCACAATGACAGAAATAGGAAACTTGCCAATGCTAAAACACACTAAAAAGCCTGTGCTTAAGTGTCCAATATGTGGGAAAACTTTTTTAACTCAGTTAGCAATGAAGGTTCATATATTGTATCACACAGGCGAGCGCCCCTTTAAATGTTTGATGTGTGACAAAACCTTTTCCCAGAAACATAATGCAAAGAGTCATGTGTTGACACACACAGGGAAGAAACCTTATAAGTGCACTACCTGTGGAAAATCATTTTCATACAAACATCATTTGATGTCACATACGTTGTCAGTTCATACAGAAGAGAAACCTTATAAGTGTACAACATGTGGAAAATCCTATAACCGCAAATACGGGTTGAAGGTACATATATTGTCAATTCATACAGAAGAGAGACCTTATAAGTGCACAACATGTGGAAAATCCTTTAAACTCAAAAACTATTTAAAGTCACATACATTGTCAGTTCATACAAAAGAGAGACCTTATAAGTGCACTACTTGTGGAAAATCCTTTGCATCAACATTCCTTTATAACAGACATGTATTAATACATAGCAATGAGCGTCCTCACAAGTGTTCTACATGTGGAAAATCATTTTTATGCAAATACAAGTTGAAGTCGCATACATTGTCCGTTCATACAGAAGAGAGACCTTATAAGTGCACAACATGTGGAAAATCCTTTAAACGCAAAAACTATTTAAAGTCACATACATTGTCAGTTCATACAAAAGAGAGACCTTATAAGTGCACTACTTGTGGAAAATCCTTTGCATCAACATTCCTTTATAACAGACATGTATTAATACATAGCAATGAGCGTCCTCACAAGTGTTCTACATGTGGAAAATCATTTTTATGCAAATACAAGTTGAAGTCGCATACATTGTCCGTTCATACAGAAGAGAGACCTTATAAGTGCACAACATGTGGAAAATCCTATGCACACAAATGCCATTTGAAGGCGCATGTATTGTCGGTTCATACAGAAGAGAGTCTTCATTAATGCACCACATATGCGGAAAGTCTTTTGCATATATAAGCAATTTGATAGAACATACATTGGTTCATACAGAAGAGAGGTACTGTTGGAATCAGTACAGGTACAAGTGCTCTAATTATGAAAAATCCTTTAAACCGCAAAAAACAGTTAGAAGGTACATATATTGTCAATTCATACAGAAGAGAGACCTTATAAGTGCACAACATGTGGAAAATCCTATGCACACAAATGCAATTTGAAGGCGCATGTATTGTCGGTTCATTCAGAAGAGAGTCTTCATTAATGCACCACATATGCGGAAAGTCTTTTGCATATATAAGTAATTTGATAGAACATACATTGGTTCATACAGAAAAGAGGTACTGTTGGAATCAGTACACGTACAAGTGCTCTAATTATGAAAAATCCTTTAAACCGCAAAAACAGTTGGAAGGTACATATATTGTCAATTCATACAGAAGAGAAACCTTATAAGTGCACAACATGTGGAAAATCCTTTAAAAGAAAAAACAATTTGAAGTCACGTACATTGTCAGTTCAATTCATACAGAAGAGAAACCTTGAGTGCACTTCATGTGGACAATCCTTTGTATCAACATTCCTTTATAACAGACATATATTCATACATAGCAATGAGCGTCCTCATAAGTGATCTACACGTTGGAAATCCTTATACAAATGTCCTTTTTTTACAAATATATATGTATTCATTCTTGACAATCTAATTTTGGTCTTATTCATTTCCACAACTGATGAGTGCTCATAAGTAGGAATTCAAAAGCAATTATAACAGACATGTTTTCATTTATATCAATGAACGTCATCATATATAGCCAAATGACATGAAATGACTCACAAAACTTTGTTTATAAATAATAGTCAATTGTAAGACCAATGCTAAATTCTATATGTTATCATATTTCATATAAAATGTAAATTAACTAAATTTCCTTCACCAATATCATGTATTATACAGGTTAGATAAAAAGTCCCGGGACAAATAAATATTTCAAAAAGTAATAAAGGTGGAGCTTCAAAACTTGGTACTCAGTTACTGGGCATTGAAATTATTTTAACACATTATTCTGTGATGTGCTACCTCCTTGAGCAATGGCCCAACAGGAGTCAGAAGAAACTCTTACATGCAACAATAGGTTTATATGCACAATCAAATTAAAGGTCTTTGTTAGTAAAATACAATGCCGCAAATTTGACTAAAACGGACATTAAAGTAAAAAATAAACCCGCCGCAGCAAACCTGACGACTGACCGAATTTCTAGTTGTCTTGAATTGATTTCAATTAAATCTATTTTCATGGTTTTTAATAAAGCTATAAATAAATAAAATGTTTATAAATATAATACAAAATACAACTATTTCATAAATTTAACTTATCAGTTTAGTTTCGCTTAGAACTATCAACATCTATAACAAGTTTCATTAGTAAAGATGTCACACCAGAAGTCAGTTTTTCATAGGCTGTAACTCCTATACGAGTGGGTTTATCAAAAAAATTTCAAGAATAAAAAAATTTTAAACTGCATGTTCCATTCCAAAACTTAATAATAATTGTAGCTGTTATCCAGTTATGGCTGTGAAAAGAAAACTGATTGCGTATTAATATATGGATTAATCTTTTAAGTAAAAAAGGGAACAGCTGATTTTCAGACCTGCAAAGACCTGCTTTGTATTGCCCAAAATGACGAAGACAGGTGGCATTTCGGCGTTGGACAGCAATACATAGTTTTTAGCCTCCAATTAATGTTTGTAAAACGGCCAAAAACGTCGTAATATAGTGAAAAAATTTGATTTTTGATGATGTGAAGTATTGAAAGTGTTTTTAAAACCACCAAAAATGTACTTATTCTTGGTTTCTTCATTTCATTTTTTGCACCAACATTATGTTAGACCAATATGATGTACTTTAACTAGTAAAATTTTTTTTAAATTGTTTAATCATGATTAGACCTAAATAAATGTGTTAATAAAGTGTGATATTTTTCAGATGTGTTGCTAGATAAACCCAGTATTCGTTCAACTGCATCATTTAACAAGTCCTACAAAAAAGATTAATAGATAAGGGTACAAGGCTTATTGATTCGTCGACCCTTCTGATTATTATGGTATTAAGATTATCTAATAAGTTTCACAATGACAGAAATTGGAAACTTACCAATGTTAAAACACACTAAAAAGCCTGTGCTTAAGTGTCCAATATGTGGGAAATTTTTTTTAACTCGGTTAAGAATGAAGGTTCATATATTGTACCACACGGGCGAACGCCCCTTTAAATGTTTGATGTGTGACAAAACCTTTTCCCAGCAATATGAGGTAAAGAATCATGTGTTGAAACACACAGGGAAGAAACCTTATAAGTGCACTACCTGTGGAAAATCATTTTCATACAAACAACATTTGATGTCACATACGTTGTCAGTTCATACAGAAGAGAAACCTTATAAGTGTACTAAATGTGGAAAATCCTTTCCATCAACACTCATTTATAACAGACATGTATTAATACATAGCAATGATCGTCCTCATAAGTGCAAATCATGTGGAAAATCCTTTTCAAGTAAATACAATTTGAAGTCACATACATTGTCAATTCATACAGAAGAAAAACCTTATAAGTGTACAACATGTGGAAAATCCTATAACCGCAAAGACGGTTTGAAGGTACATATATTGTCAATTCATACAGAAGATAAACCTTATAAGTGCACAGCATGTGGAAAATCCTTTAAACACAAAAACGGTTTGAGGGTACATATATCGTCAATTCATACAGAAGAGAAACCTTATAAGTGCACAACATGTGGCAAATCCTTTAAACACAAAAACAGTTTGAAGGTACATATATTGTCAATTCATACAGAAGAGAAACCTTATAAGTGCACAACATGTGGCAAATCCTTTAAACACAAAAACAGTTTGAAGGTACATATATTGTCGGTTCATACAGAAGAGAAACCTTATAAGTGCACAACATGTGGAAAATCCTATAACCGCAAACAAGGTTTGAACGTACATATATTGTCAATTCATACAGAAGAGAAACCTTATAAGTGCACAGCATGTGGAAAATCATTTAAACACAAAAACGGTTTGAAGGAACATATGAGTGAAAATTTAAAAACGTACGTTTTCATGTCCCTGGCCTTTTACTTCGTAGCTACTGGATTTGTAGTTTATTATTATGTGTTTTAATATTTTTTGGGACGGGGGCAACATGTTACACACATTTATTTGGTTTTAAATAGGTTCTAGGTATTTTTTTCGTATTTTTAAAGTCTCGAAATTCACGACCATGACGTGTCCCTAGGGTACATTTTCCAACTTTCACGCTGTTTTTAGACTAATTATTCATGCCGAAATATATAAAGCCATATTTTTATGTCATCAATGGTTATTAAACTTACAAAAAAGGAGCATATTATAATTTTATTGTCATTGCAAACTGACTACCATGACATAATAAGTCTGTCCCTCGATTTGGCGTCACGACCATTTGGGAAAATTTTTCAACTTTGGAGCACGACAGTGGCAAGCCTGGCGTTGATGGAGTCAGTTGGTTTTAGAGACTAGTTCGGGGTGTACGTCAGGATTGTAGTGCCGGTCGTTTCGAGTTGAAAGGAGGAATTACAAGATTAATACAGGAAAGGTTGTGTTTTTTGTAATTTTGGTGTGTCCATGACCGTACATAGTCATTCGATGAAGTAGACATGGTGTTAATTTTTGTTTATAAGATATTTCAATTGCTAGATTAACCTAGAAGTCCACTTTGTATCCTCGAACATGAGGTGCAGAGCTACCGCCAGAACAGAGCCAAATAACACGTAATTTCACGACCAAAGTTTCACGACCATCGCGGGTTTTTTCACGACCTATCCAGCCTTATGGATTATAGTGTGTTTGGTCGTGACAATAACTTTAATATAATTGTAATTTGAACAGTTTAGTTCAATTGAAACACATACTTTTATTATAACTAACAGTATAATTAAAGGATTGTTTAGAAAGATTTAGATTTTTTTTTATAAAATTCACGACCGTACCGCTTGTCCCTGACCATCACGTTTATGATTTCTGTCATAAAAATTTCAAAAATTAAAATATCGTCATATTTCAATGTTTTATACACAAAAGAAACACGCCTCTATGCAAACATAACGATTTTTCGGGTCTCAGGTAAGTTTTTTCGGAGTTATACAAACTTAAAAAGATATTATTGGCTTTTTTCAATTTTTTTGAGTTTTTTATTTTTTTCTAGAAAGACTAAATATACTAAAAGCTCAGTGACCTTTTTAATGTATAATGGTCATAAAAGTAAATTAGTTTATAGCAAAACATAGTTATAAAAATAATATTAACTATTTTTAATATTCATTTAAACGTCTGTTATGGTCGTGACAGGATTTTGTGTTTTTCCACTAAAGATGCTCTTTAAAAAAAAAACTACCAAAGATATTGCGTTACCATGGACATTTTATGAAACTTCAAATGTTAATGAAATCAAAAAAATAATAAAAGTTTTGAAAAAAAGGGAAAAAAATCTGCAAAGTGTGTTTCCTGAAAACGTACGTTTTTAAATTTTCACTCATATATTGTCAATTCATACAGAAGAGAAACCTTATAAGTGCACAACATGTGGAAAATCCTTTAAACTCAAAAACGGTTTGAAATTACATATATTGTCAATTCATACAGAAGAGAGACCTTATAAGTGCACAACATGTGAAAAATCCTTTAAACGCAAAAACCATTTGAAGTTACATACATTGTCAATTCATACAGAAGAGAAACCTAATAAGTGTACAACATGTGGAAAATCCTTTAAAAACAAACACGGTTTGAAATTACATATATTGTCAATTCATACAGAAGAGAAACCTAATAAGTGTACAACATGTGGAAAATCCTTTAAAAACAAACACGGTTTGAAGGTACATATATTGTCAATTCATACAGAAGAGAAACCTAATAAGTGTACAACATGTGGAAAATCCTTTAAAAACAAACACGGTTTGAAATTACATATATTGTCAATTCATACAGAAGAGAGACCTTATAAGTGCACAACATGTGAAAAATCCTTTAAACGCAAAAACCATTTGAAGTTACATACATTGTCAATTCATACAGAAGAGAAACCTAATAAGTGTACAACATGTGGAAAATCCTTTGTATACAAATTCATTTTGAAGTCGCATATATTGTCGGTTCATACAGAAGAG